CGCTCAGAGGTGGTGCACAGGCATAGGCATAGGCATAGGCGCAGGCATAGGACTTAGGGAGGAGGCATAGGCATAGCCATAGCCATAGGAATTGGGGGGCATAGGAATTAGGGGGAGGGCAACGGACCAATTAGTTGGATTTGAATGCGAACTCCTATAGGGTAAGCATATTTGGGGAGTATCAGCCAGCGTTGACTCCAGATGGATTAGACGACTCAAATCAAGGAATCCGAGGAATCGAACATGCTAGAAACCTGCAATTCAGCAAGCAAGCGGGCGTGTAAGCAAGCGCGCAAGCAAGAACGCAAGCAAGCAGGCATAGGCATAGATAGGCGAAAGCATAGGAGTTAGGGGGGAGGCATAGGCATAGCCATACGAGTCAGAGGGGGGCGCATAGGAATTATGGAAGGCGGGGGATTCTGGAGCGGCGGTCTGGGGCCCGCGCCTCGGCAGCATTTTGCACTCTCGTCTCGGCGCCGAACACATTTTTTCAAACCGAACGTTCCCGCCTCGGCGCCGGGCACATTTTTGGCAGCATTCTGATAGCGATTGGAGCATCGTTGGGACTGGGGAGGTCGGCAGGGCCTGCGCGCGGCGTGCGCCGCAGTCTTCGTCAAGGTCGGCAGGGCTTGCGCGCAGCTTCTGCCGTCGCGAAGGACTCGTCAATACATACCTCTTAGACGGGATTCCTTAATAAAGATTCCTTCGCAAACATTTCTTAAGAAGATCTCCGTAATACCTAATTCTTCGTCCTAAGAACCCTTCATAAAGATCCCATAGCCGAGATTCCTTAAAACACATTCTTTAACCAAGATTCATTAACTGATATTCCTTTGTAAAGATTTCGCACCGAAAGTTCCTTAGCAAAGATTCCTTCTTACAAACTCCGTACAACGGGTTCCTCAGTAAGGGTTCCTCGAAAAAGGATTCCTTCATAAGTATTCCTTGATAAAAAAAAGATCCTTCGCAAATATTCCTTAGTGCAGATTCCTGATTAAGGATTTCTTACTAAGGACTTTTTCGTAATAATTCTTGAGTTCGGATTCCTCAATGTATACTCCTTCTTTGGGAATTCCTTAGTCATGTGATTCAGACATAAAGATTCCTCGAAGCATATTGCTGGGCAAAGATTCCATGATACATATTCCTTACTACGGAATCATTAGTAAGGATTCCATCGCATGGGTTCCTTGGTAAAGTGTTCTTACTGTGGGTTCCCGAGTAAAGATTCCTGAAGAGAGGGTTCCTTCGTAAGGATACCTCAAGAAATATTACTGCACACGTATGCCTTAATGAATATTCCTTAACACATGTGCTGTAGGCAATCTTCCGAAATAGAGATTCCTCAATCCAGATTCTTCATCACATATGTTGTGTGAAGGTTGTTCAATCCATATTCCTTACTACCTACCCATTCGTAGCGATTTGAGTATGTATTCCTTATCGACAACTCCTTAGTAAGGATTATTAGTCCTGAGGAAGAACTATTCAATAACGATTCCTTAGTAAAGACCTGTCGGCAAGGATTTCTTGATTCATCTCCTTCAATACATGTTCCTTTTTAGAAACTACTCAATACACATTCCCGACTCGGGATTTCCTCAATAACGATTCTTCACCAAGAATTCCTCAATGCATTTTCGGTATTCCGGACTCCTTAGTCACGATTCCTGATTAAGGATTCCTCACGAAAGATTCGCCGCGAATGATTCCTTAGAACAGATTCCTTACCCAGGATTCCTTAGAAAGAAACGATTCCTTACAACACATCCCCTTCTCTCAAAAATATATGGACGAATGATTCCAGGGTAGGGGTTCCTCTGTCAGGATTCCTCCGTAATGGTTCTTCAATCAGGATTCCTTAGTGGTGCTTCCTTACTATGGATTATTCAATGCCAAGCATTACCGACCGATGACACGCAATGGCAAGAGCAGGACACCCCATTGCCAAACACCGAAACACAGCCAAACCACGACCAACCAATGCAAAGCAATGCCAAACACGACAAACCAATCTCAATCACGTCAAAATGATGCCAACCAGTGCCAAGAATGACCACAGCCCCAAGAAACGCCAAGCACGACCAACCAATGCCAAGCACGACCATCAAATGCCAAACATTACCTACCAATGCCAAGCCGACGACCACGATGACCACGATCACGACGACGACGACGACGACGTCGACTACGCGAGCAGCATGTAGGTGGTGATATGCCCCATTGCGCCTGTGTTGCACCACAGCAATCGCATGCACCACGGCGCGCGTGTATACCACAGCGCCTGCGGACACCGCCGTGTGCAACGCAGCGCCTGTGTACACCAGTGCTTGCGTACACTACAGCGCCGGCGTGCACTTGCACACCGCAGCTACCATGTGCAACGCAGCGCCTGTGTACACCAAAATGCTTGAGTGCACCGCAATGCCTGTGCACGCCACAGCGCGTGTCTACACTCTACACCACAGCATCCGCGTGCAACGCAGCGCTGGTGTACACAACAATGCCTGCGTGCATAGGACAGGTAGAAGGAGCATGCAGGTGAGCATCTGCTGCAGACAGCTAGACGCCACGCCAGGAAATTGCTGATAATCGCATGCGACGTTCTTTCCTCATCCCTCCTCCTCCTCCTCCTCCTCCTCCTCCTCCTCCTCTTCCTGCTCCTCCACCTCCACCTCCTCTTCCTCCTCCTCCTCCGCCTCCTCCTCCTCCTCCTCCCCCCCTGTCGTGCGGGTTGGCGCTACAGCGCACGTGCGCATCTCAGCGCGCACCGCAGAATGGTCGGTTGAATCGGTCCACTTGGTTCTCGGACGGCCAATTTAGCTGGAACCTCCTGGACGCAAAGGGAGTTGGGGTGATGCGGGCGGACTCGGGAGGACACGTAGATTCCAGCGGCGCTCCGTTGTCCATAAGGAATATGTTATATTGTTATGTGGAATTCACGAGCGCTCCATTTTGTCATAAGGATTTATTATCACTGTCTATTTGCAACAATGGTACTGTGTTGCACACGGTTGCTGTGGTGCACACAGGCGCCGTGGTGTACACAGGCACTGCAATTCACGCAGGCATTGTGGTGTATACTGATGCTATGTTGCACACGGCTGATGTGGTGAACGCAAGCGCTATGGTGTGCACAAGAGCTGTTGTGCCCGCAGGCACGGTGGCACAAACTGATGCTGTGTTGCACGCGGCTGCTGTGCTGTACACTGGCGGTGGTGTACACAGGCGCTGTGGTGCACGCAGACACTGTGGTGTACACAGGCGTTGTGGTGCAAATCGCCACCTACATGTTGGCGCTACCCGTCCTCCGTCATTCGTAGGCATTCCCAAACGCCGCCGGCGCGAAACGTGACGTTATCGACCCCCCCGATGATTGCCGTCATCGGCCCGGAATAAGAAACAGGCTTCAGCCGCGTCCGCGCGCACGACTATGAGCGACGAGCGACAAGCCACGAGCGACGACGACGAATACGACGACGACGACGACGACGACGACGACGACGACGACGACGACGACTACGACGACTGTACCAGACTCCTATGCGGGTTCCTACGCGGACACCTACGCGGATCCCAATGCGCACAGCGGCAGCGCTCGGAGCGCACTGGGGGGCAGTGCCCGGGGCGCACTGGAAGGGGGAGCGTTACGTCATAGGGGGGGGGGCGGGGGCCATGACGCCCGTCATGCCCCAAGCAATAAAGAAACGGGCTCCAATGCTGAGCAATGCCAGGCACGAGTAACCAATTCGAAGCAAAGCCGAGCACGACCATTCATTGCCAAACACAGCCATGCAACGCCAAGCACAACCAACCAATACCAAGGAGGACCACTCGATGGCAAGCAGTTCCGAGCATGACCAACCTATGCCAAGCAATGCCTCGCCCATTAGCACTGGAGCATCTTATCAGCACTGGAGCATCCCCAAAATATACAGGGCATCGTACCGGGGTTCGTCCACCGGAACCACCAGTCTGAAACAGATTGTGTCAGGGCCACCGCAAGCCCGCCGCCGTCGACGAGCGAAACAAAAATGTAAGGGACAGGCACAGGGGGGAGGAGGACCAGGAGGCCTAAGGGGCGCCACAGGACATCGAAAGCGGCGGCGGGGGGGGGTCAGAGGGCTGGGGGTATTTGGGGGGCGCTTCTTGGGGGGGGGGGAAGCAAAACAAAAAATGCCAGGGAGGGAGTATGGCAGATTTTTTTGTTTGCCCCCCCCCCCCCAAGCGGCGCCGCGGGCGGTAGGGGGGCGTTCTGGCCTCTCGCCCTTTCCTCCCTCTCCCGCTCCCTCCCTCTCCCCTCCCCCCTCACCCCTACCGCACCGCTCCCGCGCCTTGTTCTCTCTCTCTCTCTCTCACTCTCTCTCTCTCTCACTCTCTCTCTCTCTCTGGCTCTCTCTCTCTCTCTATCTCTCTCTCTCTCTCTCTCTCCGACCCTCCCTCCTTCCCTCCCTCTCTCCCGCTCTCTCTCGATCTACCAGATCTACCAAGCCCTCCTTCTCACCCTCACCCGCGCTGCAACGCGCACCTCGGAAGTCAATCGTGCCGCGCGTCGGCCCCCCAGACCGCCACCCCAGAATCCCCCGTTCTCGAATTATGGGGGGGACAACGGACCAATTTTTGAGCCAGGACTCCTATAGGGTAAGCCTATTTGGAGAACATCACGAACAAAAGCGCAACTGTAATCCCTAGACACCATCTTTCTGCTCTGCTGCATTTTTGAGCTGGATCGATATGTAATGATTCTGGGGCTGAAACACGTCGAAAACGCACGGTGTGAAAAACAGACACTGTCTAACACTTCAACGTCCTATTTTTGTTTCACAAAACATCTCCAAGAAGTCTCGATCCATTCCCCGAAACTGGTTTTTCATAAATGGTAATAATATACGGTCCCCGGGCCCCGCGAAAGCCCCCAGAGGCAAACCCTTTTCCGTCACGATTGTTTCACGACGCGAGGGCCCGGGACAGCGACGGAGAGACTTTACAGCTCCCGACACCGCATCTCCATATGCACGAGCTGGTCGATGAGGGAGAGGAAACCGATCTTCTCCTCGCCCAGCAGCTCGAGCAGGCGGTGCCGCTGGCTGCCGGGGGGCTCCAGCGAGCTGGCGGAATCCCGCAGGCAACGCCTCGCAGCGGCGTAGAGCTCGCCGCCAAGTCCATCCTGCAGAGCACCGCGAGCACTGCCCCCTTCGCGTCGTGAAAAAAGTCACGACGGAAGGCTCTCGTTATGTTCCACCCCTGGAAACCCTCGCTGGGCTTCGGGGACGTCCCAAAATGTCGGGATTAAAAAACCACAGCGAAAAATTGTTCCATATTTTCCGCCCTTGAGGGAGGGCCCGCGCCGGGTCCCGGGAGGGGCCCCAGTGACCGTCAAAAAACGTCCCAAGACTCGAACAGGGGATCGAGGGATGAAAAGCCGGTGCTGGAGAATGGGTCTTGGCCTCTGGGGGTCCTGTGCAGCCACCGCTGCCGCATTGGCTGGGCATCCCGTGACCGATGGCATCGGCAGTGGTTGTAGTGACTGCCCCCCGCCCTCCTCCCCTTAACCATTGCTCGGACGTGCGTTCCCCGTGCATATTTCGGTTTCGTGCGTGCTTGTTGTGCAAGATTATTCGGGATGCTCCTCGATGGTCCTCGCCGAGAAAAAAACGCACACGTCCGAGCGATACCAAGCCCCTCCCGTTCGGAAATCTGCTCGACCGGAGCTGAGAGGAGCAAGGAGGACGGGAGAGGTGTAAGGGGATACGAAGCGAGAGGAGGAAGAGAGGAGACGGAGGAGAGGAAGGGGGATGAGAGGAAGAGCGGGCAGGGGGAAGAAAAGGATGATACAAGAGAGAGGATAGAAGGTATATGGGGAGGGCTCGGGGGGTATAGATCACCCTAGACCGTTCTACCGACCCTAGGCTTTCCAAGGGTAGGCCCTACTGAAGGCCCTAGGCTTCCCAAGGGTAGGCCCTACTGAAGGCCCTAGGCTTCCCAAGGGTAGGCTCTACTGAAGGCCCTAGGCTTCCCAAGGGTAGGCCCTACTGAAGGCCCTAGGCTTCCCAAGGGTAGGCCCTACTGGACACCCTAAGGTAACCCTAGGGTTGCCCTCGGGGTAGGCCCTAGGGGTAGCCCTAGGGTAGCCCTAGGGGTAGGCCCTAGGGTAGCTCTAGGGGTAGGCCATCGGGGTAGCCCTAGGGGTAGGCCCTCAGGGGTATCTGAATGCGATAGGGTATCACATGTTATGCAGTGTGCGCAGCACGTTCATGATCATGCTTGCTCGCTGCTGTCGTATATATTTACCGTGTGCTGCCGCCACCTCGGCTCAGGCGAGGGTTGGCGGGATTCCTTTCGTGGATGAGCCTGCGAGTTCGCAGTCAGTGGCGCGCTCAGGGGACGCGCTAGACAAACATTATCAGAGAGCAGTGGGTGCTCTCATCGTATTACTGATTGTGCGTGGACAATCTATTGGGAATCATTTATCAGGAGGAGCTCGAGGTCTTTGCCATTTTGGATACGAACCTCGTGGGGTTCCTTGGGATTCAGATTGGTAGCGGAGCTCGTAGTTTCAGCCACGGGTTTCCACCAGTCTCTTCGCCGTGGCGTCGAGTGGAACAGCCTCTACAACCTCCAGGGTGGAGGTGCCGACATGGAACGGGGAGGCCGACAAACTGTCCAGCTACCGCTTTGAGGTGTCCATGTTCGTGAAGAGTGTACGCGTGGCCGACCGCTACGTCTGCGGGCCGCAACTGGTCCGAGCGCTGGGGCCGCGCGTGCGGAGCGCAGTGGAGAGCTGCCCGAAGATCGACCAGGTAGACGCGGTCGACGAGGAGGGGCGTCTCACGGGCTGGGACACGGTGTTCGACTATGTGCTGGACAAGCTGGATTACACGAGCTTGAATGACACGGGCCTGCTAGCGGAGGAGTTCTTGTTGAAAATCTCGAGGAATGCCGGAGAGACGTTCCAGGACTGGGCGGCGCGGTTCGAAAAGAAAGAGCGAGAGCTGCTGATCCAGTTGCAGGCCATCGACATGAACGTACGCGAGGTGATCGCAAAGCCTCTCAGAACATAGCCCTAGGGGTAGGCCCGAGGGGTAGCCCGAGGGTAGCCCTAGGGGTAGGCCCTAGGGGTAGCCTTTTTTATTGCGGATTACAAACTGGTTCCTTTGGTCGGGCGGGCGGGCGGGACATGAAATGCATTGATTGCTTTGGTGGCGGATTACATGTTGATTCCGTTTGATTGCCTTTAGTCGGGCGGGCGGGCGGGACATTAAAGGCATTGATTGCTTGTGCGGTGGATTACCAAATGCTTCCCGTTGGTAACGGATTACGAGTAGCTTCCGTTTGCGGTGGATCATCAACTGATTATTTTTGTCGGACGGGCGGGCGGGTCATTAAAGGCATTGATTGCTTGTGTGGCGGATGGCAAACTGATTCTTATTGTGGCAGATCACACATTGACTCCTTTTGTCGCGCGGGCGGGCGGGACATTAAAGGCAATGATTGCTTGCATGGTGAATTACAAATGGATTCCCTTTGGCAGCGGATTGCAAAGTTATTCCTTTGGTCGGGTGGGCGGGCGGGAGACACTGGGACGAAAAGGGACCGCTGCGGACAACGGGAGGGCGGGCCCCTTCGGCGCCCCCCCCCCGCAAGAGGGCAGGGAGCCGCCAACGGGGTACCCGGATTCCCACGGGAACCACCCCACCGGCAGTCCGCCGACCCTCTGGGGCCGCTGTGGGGTCCAGCCCCCAGGGGCCGCGGGTTGAGAAGGTCAGACCAGCGGGTCCTCACCCCTGCACCTGGCCCGAAGGGCCGTGCCGGGCCCGGGAGGCCAAGCTGGGCCCGTGCGGGGGGGCGTAAACGGGAAAACAAAACCAAGAAACCTTCGGACCGACGGCGACGACGACGGCGGCGACGGCGCGGGGCCCCCACCCCTCACAGACCCCCCCCCGCACAAACCGCCCCCCCCTTCACAGACCCCCCCCTCGCAGACCCCCCCCCCTCGCAGACCCCCCCCTCGCAGACCCCCCCCTCACAGACCCTCCCGTCACAGACCTTCCCTCCTCACAGACCCCCCCTCTAGGACCCCCCCTCTCACAGACCCCCCCTTACAGACCCTCCCCTCACAGACCCCCCCTCGCAGAACCCCCCCCTCGCAGGACCCCCCCCTCGCAGACCCCCCCTCACAGACCCCCCCTCCTGGACTCCCATCACAGACCCTCCCCCCCTTGTGGGTTTCCTCCCCCCTCTCGGAGACTCGGAAGACGAGGGGCCAGGAGGACGACGGCCGACGGCGACGGCGACGCCGGACATCGACGGCCAGCGGCGACGACGATCACCACGGAATCGACGACGACGACGACGACCACAACCGACCGTCCGACTGTCCGACCGACCCGCCGGCCGATCGGCTGTCTGACCGATGGACCGACCGACAACCACGACGACGACGACGACGACCACGACGACGGCGGCGGCGGCGGCGGCGTCGACGACGGCAACGGCGACGACGACGACGCAAAGCCGAGCCGATCGACGGTCGACGGGGGCGCCGTCTGGCGCCAGGGCGGCGCAGGCGGGGCTGCCACCTCCTCCTCCTCCTCCTCCTCCTCCTCCTCCTCCTCCTCCTCGTCCTCCTGCTCCTCGTCCTCTCCCTCCTCCTCCTCTCTCCGTCCCTCCTCCTCTCCTCCTCCTCCTCCTCCTCCTCCTCCTCCTCCTCCTCCTCCTCCTCCCTCCTCCTCCGCCTCCGCATCCGTCGCCCTCTCCCTCTCCCTCTCCTCCTCCTCTCCCTCCTCCTCCTCCTCCTCCTCTCCTCCTCCTCCTCCTCCTCCGCCTCCTCCTCCTCCTCCTCCTCCTCCTCCTCCTCCTCGTTTCGCCTCCCCCTCATCCTCGTGCTTCTCCTCCGGTAAAGGCGGCCCCAGGGGTAGGCCCCAAGGGTTGGCCTAGGGATGCCCTAGGGGTAAACCCTAGGGATAGGCCTAGGGTCGCCCCAGGGGTAGGCCCTAAGGGTAGGCCTAAAGTAGTCCTAAGGGTAGGCCCTAGGGGTAAGCCTAGGGTAGTCCTAGGGGTAGGCCCTAGGGGTAGGCCCTAGGAGTAGGCCTAGGGTCGCCCTAGGGATGGGCCCTAGGGGTAGGCCTAAGGTAGCCCTAGGGGTAGGTCCTAGGGGTAGCCCTAGGGTAGCCCTAGGGGTAGCCCTTAAGGGCAGGCCTAGGGTAACCCTAGGGGTAGGCCCTAGGGGTAGGCCTAGGGTAGCCCTAGGGGTAAGCCCTAGGGGTAGGCCTACGGTAGCCCTAGGGTAGGCCCTAGGGGTAGGCCTAGGGTAGTCCTTGGGGTAGGCCCTAAGGGTAGCCCTTCCTTGGGTGATCTATCAGGCTGGGGGGTCATCTTTGGGCGGAGGGTTTAAAATCGTAGCTCGGGTTTCCCCCTCTTGGGCTCATCATGGTGCCTTCTTGGGGTCCTCTTGGGCCGTCTTCGGAGCTTTTTAGTCCGTCGTGGCGCCCTCTTGGGCCGTTGAAGGACCCTCTTGGAAACCCCTCGGGCATTCTCGGGCCGACTTGGGAGACCTCTTGGGTCGTCTAGGACCGTCTTGAAACCAATAAGGCGAATATGGTAAAAATGCACGCTCGCCAAAGGGAAATGGGGCGATCTTTGCTTCGCGAGGCCCTCTCGGGGGTCGTCTTGGAGCGGTCTTGAAGCGTCGTGGACGCCTCTTGGGCCGTTTGAGGCGCATTTTGGGCCGCCGGAGACCCCTGCAGGGCATCGTGTGGGTGACTTGGGGCCATCTTGGGCCGCTGTGGAGGCTGTCTGGTGGCTATCAGAAGCGATTTTGGGCCCCCCACAGGTGGGCCGGGCCCCATGGCCCCACATTGATGGTCGAGATCGCGGCCCGAGGCCCCCGGGCCCGGCCCCTTTTGTATCTCTAAGGGCAACATTACAACCACATGATCAGCAACGACGACACGATCAGCAACCGCATCAACAAAGCCAGCACAAGTCTCGGAGAACGCAATTCCGATGGCCAGGTAAGAACGCCTTGTACTAAGCATATTTGGGTAACAACCGTTTGAGAATCCTCAGTCGCGCCTAAGCACAATTCCTGTGAATTCTAAACGCTTCGCGTATCCCCACCAGTGGCAGACTCCCTACTGTTCAGATATCCTTGACACGGTGGGGGTCTTGCATCGCGCCACTTTGGCAGCGTAATTACTGCTCCCTGGGTGCTGGTTGCCGTCAGACTCCCTGGGCTGCAGCACCCTTGCACCCGCCGCATGGCGCCGGCCGCGCTCGCGCGCGCTTTCGGCCAATTTGTAGCGGCCGCAGCCCGACCGTTACCCGCCGCCGCTGGCGCTTCCGCCCGCGGCCGTACAAAAAAAAGTATCCCCACCAGCCCGTCCAGAAACGACGCCCAGGCGAGTAGAGGGTCGTCCTGAAGGGCTTTTCGGCGTCTTGGGTGCCTCGGGGGGGCCTCTGTGGGCCGTTCGGGATCCTCTTTGGGGCCTCCTGGGGGCCTCTTGGGGCCTCTTGGGGCCATCTTGGGGCCTTTGGGGGTCTCTTGGGGGCCTCCTGGGGGCCTCTTGGGGGGCCTCTTGGGGCCATCTTGGGGCCATCCTGCGGCCTCTTGGGGCATCCTGGGGGCCTCTTGCGGCCATCGTGGAGGAAATCGATCAAAGAAGAGGGGAGCCTTAATTAGCGTTGCCCCCCTGAGAAGGCCAAAATGGGGCCAAAACCATAGTAAAATCAATGTTTTTGGCTTCCTCGCCGAGGCCGTTTTGGACGCTCTGACCGCTCCCCGCCCCTCCTGTCCAGGTCAGTGGGGAGGGGGTAGGGGGAGGGGTAAACCCCTCCCCGAAGGGGAAGATGGAGGGGTGGAAGAGGAAACGCCCTAAACCACCGACGCCCAGAGGGCTGGTGGGATTCAACGTCAGGCATCAACGTGACTGTTGCGTCCTGACAACCCAGAATCGTGCCAGAACACCATTCCTGGAACTTTAACACCGCTGCAAGCATGCAAGACGAATGTGCGCAGCGCTGAGGCGAAAGCCACAGTTTGAAAAGGAACTTCCCTCCATCCTTGAAACTGCTGCGAACTTTTGGGACGAATGCGCGTAGCGCTGATGCGAGCTCCACATGTTGAAGAGGCGCCGCCTTCCATTAGTGAAACTGATTATTGAAATTGTTGCAGAGCTGAACTTTCAGGATCATGGTGAGCTTGTCTCAGTCGAAACGCCCAGCCCGCCATACCCACACCTCTTTGGGCGCGACAGGGAGGGATGATTTGCAAGGCGACGGATTCAGCACGAGGAAGAAGGACGAGAGGAAGGGGCGGGAAAAGGAGGGGAAGGGAGAGGGGGAGGGGGAGGAGGTGAAAAGGAGGGGAGAACGAAGAGAGGAGGAGGAGAAGGAGGAGGAGGAGGAGCAGGAGGAGGAGCAGGAGGAGGAGGAGCAGGAGCAGGAGGAGGACGACGACGAGCAAGAGGAGGAGGAGGAGGAGGAGGAGCAGGAGGAGGAGCAGGAGGACACCGCACTACCTGGCGGTCGCCGCGATCGCGGAGGCGACCCGAGAACGAGTGAAAGATATGGATATGTGTGGGCGAGCGAAGCTCGCAGTATGAATTCCAGAGCGTTAGCCCTGTGGAACATTTAGCGGAACAAGGGCCACAAAGCGGACCCAGGCCGTTTCGGGATCATCGACCCGCAAAGGTTGAGGCCCAAGGATGAGGCGGCCCCAAGGGCGCCCTTCATCGGCAAGATGCCGTCCCGAAAAGAAAAGGGCCCTGTTCCGTGTCGCACGCTCCGACATCCGATCCCCCCCCGACGCAGTCGACAAGGAGGTGGCCCGAGACGCCCGTCGTGTAAACACCGCACGACACACAAAGGACGCACTGTCCCGAGGAAACCCACAGGCGATGGCTGCGAGAGGCCTCCGCGGGAACAGTCCCCGCAGGAGGAAGGGCGCAAGCGGGCACGGTGAACGCCCCCGTTCTATGCCGAGGGTTGCGCCCCACCTCCGAGCCAGCTCTGCGTCGTTGGTGGGGGGGGCAAAGGCAGGCCCCGTGCGCTCAGGAACCGTGACCGCCGCGGCCGCAGCGGCCATGGCCTCGGCTCCAGGAGTCCTGGCCTGAGCTATCGGCTCGAAGGACACCCTGCGACGAGTCGAGCGAGACCAGAGCGGGGCGTCCGAGTCAGAGGAACCGGGCCCCTCGGGGCCGCCACCCGTTGGCTCCACAGGAGCCTCCACGGCAGGGTCCAGGCGCCGACGGGTCGAGCGATCGAAACCGACGGGGGGAGAGGCGGCACGAGGGCGCGCAAGGGCACCCATGGCGGGGCTATCGGACTCCCCAACACCCCCGTCGCTCTGAGGCAAGTCCCTGGCAGCGCCGCATGCTCGAGAGACTTCGGTGCTGCCGTTCGGCGGCAGCGCCACAGCCCCTGAGGATGCGGGACTCCATTGACTCCCCTGAGAGGCCGACGGCACCGTGCACAGACGGCGGACAGCACCCGCGGCAGGAGCACGATCACCTCCACTATGGCTCCCTGGGCAAGCAAGCGAGCAGGGCAGGAGAGAAGAGAGCGCCGACGACGAGACGTCTCAGTCCATGAGCCTTGCTTACAGAAATTACATCGCCACAGGGATCGGCCTGTAAGCAAGCTAAACACGTGGCGCAGCTCAGGCGAGTCCTGCTGGGTCTCATCGGGGCCCGAGGACCAGCAGGGCGTCGACGGGCATTGGTCCTGGGCCGAGTGTCGACCCTGGCCCCCTGAAAGAAAAGCCCCAGCGCCCGAACAGACCACCGCAAGACAGCTTGATAGCTACGTAGGCCAATCCCCATGGCGGTCCTAACCTGCTTAGAAACAGCGCGCACGTCACGCCCATTACGAGCCCCAGGATCAGCCCAACGGTTGCCGATGGCGTCTTGGGAAGAGCCACGCTGGTGACCACGAACTAACTGAGCTGTAATCCCAGCAGTCAGGCCTCCATGGTCCGAGATGTTGGCCCAGATCTGTTCCCAAAGGTCGACGTTAAGACGCCGAGGAGCCAGGCACCAGGCCGGGCCCAGCTCAAGGCCATCAACAAGGCCATTGAAATCGGTGCAAATCGTGAGGGGCGGGACTCCAATCAAGAGGACCTGTAAAAATGCGTACATCTCCGCCCGAGGGGAGGATTGGACGGGCCCTGGCAAGGCCCCATGCACAATAATACCTGCTCCTTGTCCAAGAGGCTCCCGCAGTTGACCAAAGCCCCAGCCCGCCCTGGCACATTCACACCAATACCAAAGTTGACGACAGGCCCCATCTGTGTAGACCCGACCCGATATACCAACAAGGTTCCCATACTGCACATTCCACCGTCCTGTGTCATCACGAGGGGGGAGCGGAGGGAAGCAGCGCCGTGCCAATAGCGCCCGTGTCCAAAGCATGCTTTGGTCATCGCACGCGGGGAATCCACGCAGCTCAACGTCATGCATGAAGCTCTGGCGCTCCTCTCGCAAAGCCTGACACTGCCAGAGGATGTGATGCGTGTCGCATCGCGGCTGCAGGCACTTCGGACACTGCTCAGTGTCGCGATACCCGCACTGCGCGAGACGATGCAGGAGGAGGAGGAGAAGGAGGAGGAGGAGGAGGAGGAGGAGGAGGGGAGAGCGAGGAAGGGGATAACGAGACGGAGGAGGGGCGGGGCGACGCGCGTTTGGGCGCAACCGCTCCTGGCAGCGCTGCGCAAGCCGCCTGGCGGTGTCCTGCACGACGGCGGGCGCCTCGCCGAGGGGCCTCCACTGCGTCTGCGCCTGGGGAGTGCCCTCACCCTCCTGCCAAGTCGAAGGAGGCCGTTGGCCTCCGCCTTCCTCCATCCTCGCAGCCCCGTCTTTTCCTCCTCGTCGTCGGCCCCCGTTTTCCTCCTCCTCCTCCTCCTCCTCGTCCTCCTGTTCACCCTCCTCCTTCTCTCCTCATCTCCTGTCTTGTCCTCTCGTTCCCTCTCACTGCATCTCCTGATCCCCTCTCCATGTTGTTCTTCTCTGTCGGCTGATACGACTCCTCCTCCTCTCCTCCTCATTATCCTCCTGCTCATCCTCCTGCTCCTCCTCATGCTCCTAGTCCTGGTCCTGTTCCTGTTCCTGTTCCTGCTCCTGTTCCTGCTCCTGCTGGTCCTCATCCTCATCCTCCTCCCTGCTACACTGTCCTTCCTCCTCCTGCTCTACCTCCTCCCCTCATCCGTGTCCTCCTGCTGTTCCTGTGTATTTGCTTGCTATTCCTTTCCTTCCTCCTCCTTTTTTTCCTCCTCCTGATCTTACTTCTACTGCTGCCCATGCTCCTCCTCCACATCCTCATTCCCTCCTCTTCCTTTCCTCCTCCTGCCCATCACCCTCCATCTGTTTCAAACCTATCCGGACAAAAGCGGGAAACGCCGTTTCTCTCAGCTTGTTTGCGCACGCGCGCATGGATGTGCACCCAGCACGCATGTTTCTTCATGGGGTGCGGTCGCTGGTTTGTGGCTGATGGCATGTGGGTGCGTTTGATGCGGCCTCTCTGCCGTGGAAATGCGGGGACAATTGCTGTCAGTGGCACTTGAAATTCGGGCACGGTTACTGCCACCCTGTGGTGTAGATGCTGGTGGCAATTGAAAACTGTGTACGTTAGGTACCAGTGGCACTTGAAATCGGAGTACGCTGGAAGTCATCACTTGATGTAGCTGGTGGTGGCACTGAAACTGAGGCTACATCTGCTGCGGCCTGTCTGCCGTTGAGTTGTGGGTGCGTTTGCTGCCCGTGGCAGGTGAAAAGTGCGTACGTTTGCGACGGCCCTGTGGTGCAGCTGCTCGTGGCATTTCAAACGTGGGTACGCTTGCTGCCCGTGGTATGTGACACGTTGATAAGTTTGCAGTGTAGCTGATGGTGGTTACTGGAATGTGGGTTCGATTGCTGCGGCCATTCTGCCGTTGAGTTGAGGGTTAGGCACGCTTGCCGATGTTATGTGGTGAAGCTGCTGGTGGCAGATGAAATATGTTTACGCTTGCTGTGGCACATATGGTTTGTTATGTTGCAATTGTTCTGCTGCCAGTGACAGTTGATATGTTGGTGGTATTGCTGTCATTATGTCGTCTAGCTGCTGGTGGACACTGGAATGTGTGCACACTTGCTGCAGACTTCAAGGCTCCATATGGTGTTCGGTACTTTTGCTACCATATTGTGGCGTCGCCGCTCATGGTTGTTGAAATGTGGATGCATTCGCTGCGGCCCTTCCGTCGTTAAAGTGCGGGCACGTTTGCTGCCGGTGACCATTCAGAAATGGGCGCGTGCGCTTGCTGTCATTATGTGGTGCAAGTGGCAATTGACATGCGAGTGCACTTGCTGCGGCCCTTCTACCGTTTTACACCTGTCTCCCCTCACGGCTTCACGATTCCCCCCCCCCATGATTCCACGGCTGCCCCCTTCTGATTTTACAATTGCCCACCCCGTAATTTCAGGACTCGCCCCCATGCGGTTTCATGACTGCCCTCCCCCCACGCACCTCCTATGGTTTCGCGAATCAATCCCCCTCGTGGTTGCACGAGTGACCCACCTTCTGGTTCCACGATTGCCCCACCTCCCCCGCGGTTTCACTACTACCTCGCCCGCGACGACGATG